GACCTGACCGAGCCTCCGGCCCGCGGTCTGAGCCGGTGACCCGACCGAGCCTCCGGCCCGCAGTCTGAGCCGGTGACCCGACCGAGCCTCCGGCCCGCGGTCTGAGCCGGTGACCCGACCGAGCCTCCGGCCCGCGGTCTGAGCCGGTGACCTGACCGAGCCTCCGGCTCGCGGTCTGAGCCGGTGACCTGACCGAGCCTCCGGCCCGCGGTCTGAGCCGGTGACCTGACCGAGCCTCCGGCCCGCAGTCTGAGCCGGTGACCCGACCGAGCCTCCGGCCCGCGGTCTGAGCCGGTGACCTGACCGAGCCTCCGGCCCGCAGTCACGGCCGGTGACCTGACCGAGCCTCCGGCCCGCAGTCTGAGCCGGTGACCCGACCCAGCCTCCGGCCCGCAGTCACGGCCGGTGATCCGACCGAGCCTCCGGCCCGCAGTCACGGCCGGTGACCTGACCGAGCCTCCGGCCCGCGGTCTGAGCCGGTGATCCGACCGAGCCTCCGGCCCGCAGTCTGAGCCGGTGACCCGATCCAGCCTCCGCCCCGCAGTCACGGCCGTGTGATCAACACCGAGCTTCCGGCCCGCAGTCTGAGCCGTGGAACCCCGACCGGCCTTCCAGGCCCGCGGTCTGAGCCGGTGATCCGACCGAGCCTCCGGCCCGCAGTCTGAGCCGGTGACCCGATCCAGCCTCCGGCCCGCAGTCACGGCCGGTGACCCGACCCAGCCTCCGGCCCGCAGTCACGGCCGGTGATCCGACCGAGCCTCCGGCCCGCAGTCACGGCCGGTGACTTGACCGAGCCTCCGGCCCGCGGTCTGAGCCGGTGATCCGACCGAGCCTCCGGCCCGCAGTCTGAGCCGGTGACCCGACTGAGCCTCCGGCCCACAGTCACGGCCGGCGACCTGACCGAGCCTCCGGCCCACAGTCACGGCCGGTGACCCGACTGAGCCTCCGGCCCGCAGTCTGAGCCGGTGACCCGACCGAGCCTTCGGCCCGCGGTCTCAGCCGGTGACCCGACCGAGCCTCCGGCCCGCAGTCTGAGCCGGTGACCCGACCGAGCCCCCGGCCCGCAGTCTGAGCCGATGACCTGACCGAGCCCCCGGCCCGCAGTCTGAGCCGGTGACCCGACTGAGCCTCCGGCCCGCAGTCTGAGCCGGTGACCTGACCGAGCCTCCGGCCCGCAGTCTGAGCCGGTGACCCGACCGAGCCTCCGGCCCGCAGTCTGAGCCGGTGACCCTGACCGAGCCTCCGGCCCGCAGTCTGAGCCGGTGACCTGACCGAGCCTCCGGCCCGCTCCCTATCGTGACGGCCGCATTCGTCGCCGACGTCCCGCAAGGACGCGTGATCGCCGGAGTGGCCGCGGGTCGGCCGGGGCCTGCTATCGGGCCGGGTCCAGCCGACCTGACCCGGCCGGCGGCGCGCTCCCCTGGTGCACCGGCCGCCAGATAGCGCCGCCACTCCTGCGGGGATGCTGAGGGTGTGGCGCGCGCCGCCGGCCGGCCAGCCCCGCTCGGCCGGCCGGCCGGGCCACTCACGGTGCGGCCGGACTGAGCGGGATCGTCATGTGTGGCCTGGGCGCGGTGCTCTCGTGACGGCTGCCGCCCGCGCCGGAACGGGACTGGGCGCAGCAGCGGCTGGCGGCGAGTACTGTCACACCAAAACGATATACAACGATAAGTTCGTAATGGAATAATGAAAACATACGGCAGGCAATAGTTGCTGCTTCCGAAGGCGTACGTATTCCACTTGGCCTTGTACGCAAATACTTTGCACATTTTTGGTACGCTTATGTGTAGTATGGACAGGATTATTTCGAGCTGCACTGTTTTGACAACTGCCTGAAACAAAAATTATCTTCTATGTGCGCATTTTAATTATGTTTTGTGTTATCATCTACAGGATGTTTGAAGTGAGGCTTGTACATATAAAGGGACATCAGTGTTTCTCACTAATAAAGCAGTCCTGCAATGAAAGGCTTAGGCACTGGCTGGCGGTCGGTACACCAGCTATATTCTAGGTCCTTTGTGAGGTCGTATCCTGCCCTTAGACTATAGCAAACCTAACCTGGTTTTCTGGGATCTCGGGGTTAAATGTCGGTGACAGTCTTGCTGTCGTGAACACTGCAAAAGGACATTATGGCACCGATCGTA